AACTATAAAACATTTTTTTAGATATTATAATTTATATACAGATTTTTTTAATTTCTATAATACTATTAATATTAATATATAAACATATATTAATTATATTAATAATGATAGAGTTATTAGTAATTAATATATCAATAATTATTTATATTATAATAGTGGAGGTGGGCATGGAATTTTATTTGGTTTATTATTTAATTTTTAGAGTTTGTGAGAGGGTATTAGGATTAAGATTATTGGTTATAATTGTTCGATTTAGAGGAAATGATTTATATTATATATTTAATTTTAGGAAATTTTAGAAAAATTAAAATTAGAATTTAATTTAAAATTTGGGATAGAGTTTGATTAAATATTAATTAAAGTTAAAGTAAATAGAAAAATAGTTATGATAAAATTTATTATAATAATTATATTTATAAATTTTATAGTTTTGTATAATAATATAATTATGTTTTATTATAATTTATGTTATTTGTTAAGATTTATATTAATTTTTTTTTTTATATGTAAGGATGTAGAATGATTTAATATTATAATAAGATTAGGATGTAATTATTATTCAATAATATTAGTAATTTTGAGTTTATGAATTTTAGGGTTAATATTTATGTGTTTAAGAAGGGAAAGAGGGCTTAAGTTAAAATTGATTATATTTATTAATATATTAATAGTATTAATTTTATTTTTTTTATATATTGATTTAATTTTATTTTATTTAATATTTGAAATTAGGTTAATTCCTACTTTTTTTTTAATTATTTATTGGGGGGGAAATGTAGAACGGTTAAGTGCTGGGTATTATATAATAATATATATATTATTGATTTCATTTCCTTTATTAGTTTATATTTTTAATATATATATATATGGGATAACAATAAAATTTAGATTAATAGTAATAGTTATAAATAGGTATAATTTTAGTTTTTGGGGATTTTTAATAATTTATATAGCTTTTTTTATTAAGATACCTATTTATTTATTTCATATTTGATTGCCAAAGGCTCATGTGGAAGCTCCTGTATATGGTTCAATAGTTTTGGCTGGGGTATTATTAAAAATAGGGAGATATGGTTTAATTCGATTGATAGAAATATTTTATAAAGTTGGAGTAAAATATGGTTATATAATTTTTAGGGTAGGAATTATTGGAAGAGTTATTGTTAGGATTTTATGTTTAGTTCAAATTGATATAAAAAGGATAGTAGCTTATTCTTCAGTTGTTCATATAAATTTAATATTATGTAGGTTGATGACTTTTTACAAGGTAGGAATATTTGGAAGATATGTAATAATAATTTCTCATGGATTATGTTCATCTGGAATATTTTATATAGTAAATTTATATTACAATCGGTCGGGTAGACGATTATTATTTTTAAATAAGGGAATAGTTAGAAATTTACCTACAATTATTATATGGTGGTTTTTATTTTGTATTATGAATTTTTCTTTTCCTCTTTCTTTAAATTTTATTGGGGAGACATTAATATTAATGAGGATTGTAAATTGAGATTTAGGGATAATTATATATTTAATATTAATTTGTTTTTTTAGGAGAGCTTATTCATTGTATTTATTTTCATATATTTATCATGGAAAAAATATTTATTATGAGAATAAAGTTTATAATTTAAGTTTGAAAGAGTATATAATTTTAATTATTCATTATTTTCCTTTATTAATATTTGTATTAAATTTAATATTATTTATATAGGATAAAAGTAGGTTTAGAAAGAAGGTAAATTTAGGTAGTTTAAGAAAAATATTAATTTGTGGGATTAAAGATACTTTAATAAGTTTTAAATTATTTTAAATATATTATTTTTTATGTATATATTTTGGGTATTTTTTATTTTTAGGGGGATAAGATTAAGACTTTATTATTTAGATTTAGTAGTAATATTAGAGTGATTAGTATATAGATTTAATTCAATAAATTTAAAATTTATTATATTAATTGATTGAATTTCTATTTTATTTATTAGTTTTATTATATTAATTTCTTCAATAATTATATATTATATAGAGTAACTTATATGTATATGGAGAAGTATATTAATCGGTAATTATTTATTGTTATTATTTATTTTATCTATAGTTTTAATAGTAATTAGTCCTAACATTATTAGGATTTTAGTTGGTTGAGATGAGTTAGGGATAGTATCATATTGTTTAGTTATTTATTATCATAATTATATATTTTATAGTTCTGGGATAATTACGGTGTTATTCAATCGAATTGGAGATGTAAGAATTTTAATAGCAATTAAAATAATGATGATAGTATTGAGAGGTGAGATTTAGTAATATTTAAGGGTGGGTTGGATTTAATATTATTAATAATGTTAGCTACCGTTACTAAAAGGGCTAAAATTCCTTTTTCTATGTGGTTGCCCTTAGCTATAGCTGCTCCAACACCTGTATCAGCTTTAGTATATTCTTCAATTTTAGTAACTGCGGGAGTGTATTTAATAATTCGTTTAATAGTTTTTTAATAGAAACAAATGTAAGAGTAATTTTAAGTTCTATTTCTATTTTAACTATATTTATATCAGGAGTTATAGCTAATTTTGAGAATAACTTTAAAAAAATATTGCATTGTCAACTTTAAGGCAGTTAGAATTAATAATAATAATTTTAAGGTTTGGGTTTAGGATAATAGCTTATTATCATTTATTGGTACATACAATTTTTAAGTATATTATTTATGGCTGTAATTCATTTAATAAAGAATACTCAAGATATTCGATTAATAAGAAATTTAAATGAAGTGATTCCTTATGTAATAATAAGATTATTGATAGGATAGCTTTAAGAGGGATGCCCTTTATGGCTGGATTTTATAGAAAAGACGTGATTATAGAAGTTATATATGGGAGAAAAGGATTAAATATATTTATGTTTGTATTAATAATCATATCGTTTTCGTATCTTGTTCATTACGATTTTTTTATTATTAATTTTTTAATAGAAGATTAAAATTTTATAGTTATATATGTATTAAAGAATATAAATTAATTGATATATCTATAATTATAATGTCATTGAGGATTATAGTAGGATCTTAAATTGAATTTTTTATTTTGATTATTATCCAGTTTATTTATT